AATTGTGTCAGAGATGGCAGCTTTAAAGAAGGAGTTTGAAGGCAGAAATCTAGAGACAGTCCTTTGCCAGGCATTAGGGGATTAGGTAGGGAGCGAGTAAAGAGAAATGGAAACGACAAAAGGAGACGACCCAGGCCTTTCCTCGGAGGGGTCAGCTCTCTCCTGCGCCGCATTTAGTGGGAAATAACTGATGCTATTGTCTCCGCCGGGATAAACCAGCCTGCAGAACCGTCCCCCGGAAATATTCATATTTACTCGGCCCCGGTTGAGGGGTGCAGGGAGCTTTAAGTGTCTCGTTTCAACCCGCCGCCGGGTCGGGGATGCGTTGGGAGCGGGGTCTCCCCGCAGGTCTCGCCTCCGCGTCTCCCCCGGCCCCGCATCCCCCGGCTCCCCGGGACCCCGCACCGGCAGCCAGGCGAGGGTGGTGAAGAGTCTCTTGTCTCCCAGCACTATTTATATTTCCCACTCGTGTTTCACCTTGCTCCTGCAAGGCGAGGAGGCGGTGCGAGGCTGGCGTCTGCCTGGAGCAGGCGTCTGGAAATCACTCAGGAGTCAAAACTTCCCCACGTTAACTCCCGCAAACTTCGCGGGTGCCAGTCTGGGCTGGAAACCCACTTCCCCCGGGAAAGGCTTCTCGGGTTGATGTTGAAAGAAAAAAAAAAATCCAACAACCCCAAACAAACCCCAAACCAAAACCAAACAACAACCACCACCCCCCATAGGACAGCAAACCCCCTTCTCCCCTCCGGACTCGCAACCCACGCACTGCTGTGGGGCTGCCCGGTCCTTCCAAGGCGCTGCTCTCCCCTCCACGGCGTCAGGACATGGTCCTTGCCGTCTATGTTACTTGAAATAAGCCCCTTTTAAAAACTTTCTGCTTCCGAAGAGCTTAAAGGGACCCAAGCGCAAAGCTGCAAACCGTGGGGACTTCCCCCAGCAAGGTCACGGCTTGGAGACCAGAGAAATCTTTTCGATTTATCTGCGAAGTTAAACCCGGGTGGCATGTCCCCCGGGATTTGCAGCTCACCGACACGCCTGCGAGGTCCTCCCGAAGTCTGCGTGCATACTTTATTTTATTTTATTTTATTTTATTTTATTTTATTTTATTTTATTTTATTTTAAATCGACTCGAAGCAGGAGCTAAACATTTCCAGCAGTCCGGGTGCGGATGGAAGGAGGAGGAGGGGGATCTTCAGTTCCCATCACCAGGTCCCTTCCTCCTCGCAACAAGGCGTTTTTATCGAGGGGGAAACTTGGGGTGTGTGTGTCATAACTGGAGCGTGCCGTTATTGTGCAACTGATGGACCAGAACAAACTCTGCAGCTCGGGAAATGGTTCTCTTCCTATTTATGCCCAATATCTCTATCTTTATACGGGGGGCGGGGATGGGGGGAGCGCCCAACGGGAAGAATAAAACTGCTCTGAACGGGTGAAATTAAATGCACTGGTCACTGCGGGTTTGCTGAGAGAGGGGGCGATTGTCTGCGTTTTTCACATTTGGCCACTTTTTGGTATGGGTTTTTTCTTTCTTTTTTTTTTTTTTTTTTTTTGGCCACCATTTAAATGACAGGACGCCGAAATTTAGAGATGGAGTAAAGCTGCTTGTCTGAATCCACTTTGAAGTAAGAATGCTAGTGGGTCTGAAATCCAGATCTACGAGCTAATCTCTAGTTTTGCCTTCAAACGGAATTCAGTTACAAAGAGCTTGGAAAGATTTTGCATCTATTCAAGAGGCACAAAATCTTTAATTTTCTGAGGAGCAAAAACTCCCCAAGAAACTTCATATAGCTCCTTAGGTTTTGCTTAGCATACGTGATAAAACATTGATTGTCGCAGTTTGGTGACCCATGAAATTTGGGGGTTAGTTTTCTCTTCAGACCAGAGCATATAATTATGCAAATAAAGAGCTGTCACTGATCTAGTGAAATACTCACAAACACATGCAATCCAAAATGGAACAGAAAAGTGAAAATTTGTGGTATTATGATGGTACAATGATAAATGACATCTCCTTCCAAGTTTCTCGAGAAGTAAATTTTTCATACTTTGTCGAGTACGTCAGCATAATGCGGGCGCGCACACACACACGCGCGTGTGCACACGCACACACACACGTCCCTGCAAGATCCAGATATCCACGAATGCGTGCACAGGCACACACACACGCACACACACACGCATCCCTTCACTCTGTACGATGCAGCTCTAGCCGGGTATACACATTCTTGGCAGGTTATTTTTGGTTTGGCTGACTCGAGAACGGTGCAATATGTGGCTCCACGCAGTTTTAGATGTGACACTTTCCATTTGTACTTCTGAATGAAATTCCTAGAGGGGGGAAAAAATACAACAAAAAAAACCAAAAAAACAATTAGTGATGTTTCTCGGGGACAGAGGAAAATTGCGCATTCCCATGAAAAGCAGCAGCATCTTTTGACTGAGTCCGGGAGAATCACACCGCGACAACTGTAACCAGTGTATCGCCATGTGTGTACAATGCAGATGAGGGATTTATTTGCTTCCCCCCCTCCTTTTTTTTCCCCGACAGCCCTGCTGTTTTGGGGGGTCCACTGGCTGTTTTCCTTGCGGAACATTTTTCCCCGCTCCCTCTTCTTGGCGAGGAAACCCTACTCTCGTTGGCCCATCGCTGGAACCGTGGCATTTTGGCTCTCAGAACCCTGTGCAAACCTTTTGGGCAGGCGGCCCATGACCCTTTGGGGCATGAGGAACTTGGGGATTCTCCTGTAGATCCTACCCGAGCGTCAGTTTTGCTGGGTTGGTTTTGGGGGTTTGTTTGTTTGGTGTTGTTTTTAATTTAAATTTTTTTTTTTTTTTAATTCTGTGTGTCACTTTTGCACGCCCAGCCCCGAAGTTACCCAGGACACAGGCTGTTGCATGATGTCAGGGAGTTTTCCCCGTGATGCAATCGGGAGGAGACCGACGCCAGACCTCCGCCTGCTCAGGACATCACGGCGTGAAGGACCGGCGGCGTGCAACTTTAAAAAAAAAAACACCCATCCGAAGGAATCCATTCCATCAACATTCGTCCCCCCTAAGTCTGCTTTTGGGCTATCCTTGCCACCTTTCCCGGCGACGCGGACTCGCCAGGATGCTCCCACATCTTCGTCTCTTCCAGCATCCCCGGGGGCGACAATTGCCCCCCCCCCCCCCCCCGCTCCCCATTCCCGCATCCCGCGCAGCGGACGGGGGCGGAGATGCCGCTTCCCCCCGTCTCCCCCCCCCCCCCAAAAAAAAATCCTTTCCCCCCAGGAACCGGTCAAACACCTCTCCCAGGGTGTATTTTTATATTGTTTAGTGTTTAGGATTAGCTAAAGGGGAGAGGGACGGCG